CTCGAAATACTTGTGGTGAAAGTACATCTCTTAGGCCTGAGTTGAGAGTGCCCCCCTCTGTTTTGCATTTGTCAGTTATAGATGCCTTGAGAGGTGATTCTGTTCTTGCTGCAGGAAAGAACTCCAGGGAGCTGGTTTTCATAATGAGAAGTAAGACTGAGATCTTCTGGGTACCCTAATCTGCTCTCCCTGTTTGGGAGATGGAAGAACCATAGAACATTGATTTAGGCTGAGGCTTCTGTTTCCATTTGGTTTATGGTAGAAATTTTGCCCTGATTTGTGAACTTGTTTGTTAGTGGGCTGACTGTATTAATTTTCAAGGTGCACACCTATCTGATTAAATGAGGCTCAGGTAAGTCTGTGTGTTCTAGTATATGTTCACTAATGTCTGTGTGCTCTGATGTCTGTGTGCTAGCAGCTAGGCAACAGTCTGGCAAAATTGGGTCTGAAGAAATGAAACAAACAAACAAAAAGGCATCTGAAAAATCATAGCTTATTTTATTGTCGTAACTCAAACCAAACAGACTTTTTATAATCTTAAATTGAAGGTGAGAGAAATTTATCTTGTTTGGGTCGTGCATGCCAAATTTTACCCTGGAACAACATCTCAGTTGTAAAACCAATATAATGGAGTGGCTGTTACAGGCTCAGTGTTCAGCTAGAAGTACTCTAGCTAAGCCTCAGATGACACACGAGTGGTGAACCATTAATGTAGAATATATTTGCTAGAGATAAAACAACTATTGCCTTGTTGGTCATAAGGTTCTAATCTATAGGCTCAGGATATTATGTAGGTTGTTCCTGACATAATAGGCAGTAATTTTCACTGTATGATAGTCATTTATTTGACTATAATGATTATTCAATAGGGAAAAAATCCAAAAAGAACAATCTTATTTCTTCCTGTTTTTGCATTCTCTGCTTCCCACTCTCTGTCTTATATTTGTATTTTTTAGTACACTCAGTTTCTCCTCACTCTCCCTCTATCTCCCCCAGCTCACTTCCTATATTGCTTATAAACAGGAGAAGTATTTCCTCTGTGGTAGTGGTTCTGTCTCTCTGTAAAGACTCAAATAATAGAAGCAGTTACACCGAGTCTAAACCAGAACCACAAGTAAGTATGCCCAGTCTGAAAGCATCCTGTTGCTGAATAGATGGCAGTCAAGGATGCTTTGCGGGTGGGAGTTAGGTAGCAGCTGAATCAGATGCTTAAAAAAAAAGTTATGCATGAATTTGTCTAGTCATGTACCCCTTCCTTTGCCAGTTGGACTATATGCTAACCACTGAATGTAATGTATTAGACATGTATGGGAAATGATGCCTAAACTGTTCTCTTTAATCAAGAGTAGTGTTACAGATCTGATGTAATGGTTTACCTCTAATTACAGAAGGGGGGAAAAACATTTCTGGCGTTAATTAGATCTTACAGTATTGTTTTAGAAAGCAAAGACAAGAAAGCCTGTCCCCCATCTTAATATTTTTATTTCTCTGGACCCTCTCTAAGTTTAGTTATGCCTTATTTGTGTTTGAGAGTTTCCCCACCCCACACGTGCCTCCCCCAAATTTATACAAAGGCTTTGTTTTCCAATTCTGAATTATTTAAATGGTTGGAATGTAAAATAGAATAAGCTGTACTTGTATCTGTTTTCTTTTTGGCAATGTAGATATACTTTTTTCCATTTTTCCAGAAAATACTTGGAGCAAACCAGTAGTTGGATACAGTTAAAATGAGGTCTTTACTAATAACCCTTTACCATATCTCTCCCTTAAAAATAAGAGCATACATATGAACATGGCAGAAAGATTTCTAAAAAAATAGGTTATGGATTTTTTGCATATGTATGTATTGAAACTAAAATTAACTACCTTTCCCTTTTAACCAACTATTGCTGCTGTATTTTGAATAGTTGTCTTATGTTGTTGCTAGTGGCGTAAAGAGCCTCAGTTAGATCTGCGGCTCAACTCAAATAGAAGGCTGTAGAACAAAAAGTCTCTTCCTGGTGATGTGTTACCATTGTTTAAGTGAAAGCTATTGCATGCCTTGTCTCCTGACAAATAAATACTTGACTGGGGCAAAGACGGTGTTACCTGTGCTGTCTTCTAGTGGATGCATCTTATACATTGGCCATACTTGTCAGAAGACAGGTTCTGTTACTAACATTGGGTTAAGAGAGGAAAGATGGTTGATCTTATGGTTAAAGTACTGAATGGAAGACTTGAGATACCATGGTTTAGTTGCATACAAACTTTTGAGAAAGTCAGTCTGTCTCAATTTTTCATTTGTAAACTAGGAGTGATATTTTCCTGCTTCATAGAGTTCTTACAAGAATAAGCTAACTAGTGTTTGAGTGATGGAAAGAAGATGGACAGGAGATGCCCTGCTAGCATCTACGTGTTCATTAATGCGTTGTAATTATGGCTTAATGCACAGCAAACAGTCCAGTGAGCATTAGCACAAACGAATGCTTTTTTGTAGGGGTGCACCGATAAAGATTTTTTTGGGCTTATACTGATGGCCGATTTTTAGCAAGCCGTATGAGCCAATACTGATCTGATCTGATTCTGAAATGCAGCCAGGCAGCATGGAGAGCAGTATCCAGCTGGTAAGTCTGTTGTGGGGGAAGGAGGGCGTGGGACGGGGTGCAGATCGAGGGCCCCCACAGTGAGAGAGGGAGTGGGGCTGGGGCAGGTGCTGCACAGCTGGGGGGGGCTGCAGTTCCTGATGCTGCATGTGCCCTGGGAGGGCATGAGGGGTTGTGCCCCCAGATGTGTGTACAGGGCTGGGGTAGATTGCTGCTTAGGGCTGGAGCCGGGGGCAGCACCGGGCTGTTCCCAGCAGGGGGGTGGGCTGCAGTTGGGACAGGCAGTTCTGGGGTTTGGGGGGGTTACGGTGAATTTTGGGGGGGCTGCCCCCCGCCCCGTAACCCTCCTCCCAGCACCACCGCCGCCCAGCCCAGCCCAGCCCAGCCCAGGCCCACTGCTGGGAAGAGCCTGGCGCCACCCCTGGCTGCAGCCCTCAGTGGCAGCCCCCCCTAGCCCTGCGTTCTCATGCAGGGGCACACTTTCCCCTCCCCACCCCATGCCCTCCCAGGGTACATGCAGTGGTGGGAGCCACCCTCCTCCCCACACTCCCTGGATGAGCTGCTCGCAGCTCCATCTCATGCCCCACTCTGGCTGTGCAGCCCCCGGCCCCAGCCTCACTCCCTCCCTCGCTGTTCGGGCCTTGATCTGCCCCCCCCCCCATGCCCCTTCCTTCACGACAGACTTACCGGCAGACCCAGCCGGTCTCCTGACTGCCTGTGTGCTGCGCTGCAGCTGCATGCGTGCATGGGGCATTTATCGGCCGCATTATCAGCCACACCAGCCAAAAAAAGCTGATTGCCAATACAGTCAATCTTCCTTATGTCAGCGCAGATCCAATAAGGGACCAATATATTGGTGCACCTCTACATTTATGTGATGCTTAATTCTCATTGGAATAATCTACTGCGCGTTAGTGCGTTAGCACTGTTTTTTGCCAGCTGTGAAGCCGTCAGGTGCTTGGCAATCTCCAGATTCCCCGACTTCTCCTGATATAACCCCGGGAGGTGGGTGGAGAGTACAGTTAGGAGCTATAGCTTTCTTTTAGCTTTCTTTTAGCTATAGAAGAAAGCTAAATTCTTCTGTGAAACTGCGTGGCCACGCTATCAGCTAGATGATCAAAAACATTGGCCTCGGGAGGGAAGTGTTAATTATAATACCATCTTATTGATTTTGTTCTGCCGGCAGAATGGTAAATGGGAGGAATTGATGTATGCGCAAGCGTTTATGTCTCTTTGTAGAGATAGAAAGGTTTTGGAGGAATGTGGATTGGGGGTTGGGGTCTGTGAGATGGCACATATAGCTAATTCTAATGCATACTAGAATTAGTCCAATGGGCATTAAGTGTCTCATGGATAATTCACACCCAGTGTGAATTATCCTACTGCCTCCAAGAAAGTAAGAAAATAAGATTAGATCAGTCATTCCCAGAAATTTGGGGCTAAGACTACTATCGACCCTCAGTTTCTCATTAGCTATCCGTGTACTCTCACTTGGTGGTGAGGGGGAATGTTCTTTCCTTCCCACCCAAAATATCAGTTTCCCTGGAACGTCTCCCTCATTTAAGGAAGCTTCCTCCCTTCCAAACACCCTCTCACGATTTTATAATTCTGTCTTCTCATGTGCATCTGGTGTCAGGTCATATGGCAGGGAAAAGGCTGTGACACTGCTGCTGTGGGGCAGGGTCCACTGCCATCTGTATTATAGCCTTTCAGATCAGAGTTTGAAGATCACATGAAGGAATATTGTGGTGAATACCATACAGTACTATTGTAATGAATACTATATAGAGTTTTGAAGAAAACATGGAGGGTATGCTTATAGCATATGTGGCATACACTTCTCAATATAATAAAAGAGAAAATATGCATTCAGAATGCTTGCTTTTTTGGGGAGAGGGAGGGGTCACTTGGAATTAAAAACATGGGGCAGGATTAGTTCAGGGGAAGGAGGATCATACCCTTCTAGCAAATTTTCTATAAACTTTAGCCCACTTCCCTTTCAACTTGACCAGAGCAACAAAAATAAAGGAAGCTTAAATTGCATGTATGTATAGCTGCTATTTTACTGGTATTTGTTTATAAATGAAATTGGTCTTTTTGTAAAATAGTTGGACTTGGTCTGTATCAAAAACTGGTTATAGCTCATACTAGTTGTCATCTGTATTGGCTATCCCTCAGAGTCTAATGCTGGGAGCATTTGCTCCTCTGCACCTAGCAGCCCTGGTAGTGCTGTCAGGAAATGGGGATTAAAATCTCTGGCAGGAAAAGCCCATTGGCCCCACCCTCCCTTCTTCCACTCTGGATGGGGACAGTATCAGGCCCTAGACAGCCCTACTATGTGGACCTGCCATATTCAATTTAAGACACTATACACACTAGTCACCCTGGGGTACCACAAGAACCTGTCCAGGGGGCCAGATGCTCCACATACCTTTGCTTCAGGAGGTACATTGGAGCCGAACTGAGAAGCGGCTGCAGCAGAAAGGTGTGCCTGCCTGCATTGCATTATCCAACTATGCTGCAGCTCTTTCTAGTTTGGCTCCAAAGTGCCTCCTGGAAACAGGTGAGTGAGACAGTTCCACCTGTCTCATGTGCCTCAGTTTATGGGAAACACTGTGCATAGTCAGACTGGGAAGGGCTGTGGCAAAAATATGTACTTCTGCCACAGCCACTTTCTGTTTTGGCTCTGTAGGAGGTGTGCAGCACAGTTGCATGTGGCTGCACATTTAATCTAATGAAGTAATAACATTAATGCTATAATTTTTATATTTATATTATAATATTAATATAATATTCCTGAGATTAGTTTTTTTAATGGGGTGTTGCTGAATTTTGAAAGGTTTTGGAGAGGTGCTTTGACTCTAAAAAGATCCATTGTTCTATGTTAGCCACATAGGAGCCTCTATGTTTGACATCAACTGAAATGTTTAATTTCTGAAGTTCAGAACAGTGCTAGAATCTGATACCCATTCTCCTGAGGATCAGGTGATTTTGCAAAATGTGCAAAAACCCTGCAATAAAAAATTATAGCATAATCTATCATTTGAGGAAAATTAACACCATGAAATAATACAAAGTTTAGACATTTTTAAATGACAGGCTTATGGGGAAGCTGTGTGAAGGCAAACTGAGTGAAATAAAACAGGTACAATCCATCTTCATTTTCAACAGCATGACCATAGCTTTGGACAAATTGGGTATGGATTGTAAAAGGTCAGTGAGTATTACAATAGGCAGTGCTCACTCCCTTGTGGGTAGGAAGGCAAGATTTAAGGCAAAACACAAAAGCAGAGTGCAGAGTTCATCCAGGCCTTCAGCTTTGTGTTGTTCATTGTGTTCTGTATCAAAAAGCTCCCTGAGCCAAAACTTTGGGCATGTATCATGAATATTGTGGTAAAAATAGTTCATTTCATCCAAGCATCTGTGTTCAACCAGCTCTTGGCAACTTTCAGCATAGACTGCTATATTCTGTTGAAGTGTACTGGCTGGGGCATGGGACTGTGATGGGCATCTTTGAACTGTCATGTGAAATACAGAAACTTGCAGCTGAGCTACAAAATGAAAATGGTTTCAAAACCTTAATGGACATAATGAGACGTCTCAGTATTCTGAAAATGAGAATGCAGGGTCCAAACCAAATTGTGACCAAGTTTTATGACACTGCATGCCTTTGACGTGAAGCCATTTCTGTGCTGAGAGCTGTTTCTCCTAATGTAGTTCATTTCCCCCACCTTGAATTCACTGCTCAGTGCTGCTGGGATTGAAGGTAACGAGGGGTTGGAGAAATATGTGGTCAAGATTGCTGATTCCAAGACCTGTTCTTCGACTTTTGGAACCATGAAATCGAGTTCAGACTGTTTTTTTTTTTCTTTTCCTGTTTTCTTTCCCTGTGAAGATGTCATCCAAGAGCAGCAAGTGGAACTCTTTGATCTTCAGTGTAATACTACACTGAAGGATACCTTCTCAACAGTTAGGTACTGGCAAAATGTACAAATCCTAGGAGAGAATGATCTAACAATAAAATATTTCACATTAAGGATGTTGTTCATGTTGACAAGCATGTGTGTGTGAAAAGATCTTGGTGATGAATAGGGATCCTGGTTTTCTCCCTCAAATATTATAGCGATTGGCAGCAGTGTATATATATATATATATATATATAAAAACCCAAATCCACATTTTTCCGTGATTAAAATGAAACACCACTATATAGATAGATAGGGAGATAGACATATCTATATATAAGTAGTGTTTCATTTTAATCATGGAAAAATGGATTTGGGGTTACGTTTTTGATTTTAAAAAAATTGAGATTTTTTTTTTTTTTTTAACTGTAGAAAAGCAGGATCCCTGGTGATGAACATCAACAAGTTAAAATTGCGCTGAAGACTCAGTGGCTGAAACTGGTTTTGGAACAGTCACTGCAACTAGACATTAAGAGACAAGTTGCAGTAAAGAGGTGCCAGGTGACTGGGAGCAGGATTACTAGTACAGCAGTTCTTAACATTTTTAGACTGGAGCTCCCCCTCCATAACTTTTTGGAATTTAGTGGAGGCCCATTTCAAAGACTAATTTATTTATTACAATGAGCTTGCAGAGGCATGCACAGCTCCCTTCCTTTACATGTGTGCACACATGGGCAGAGCCCTTTTGCAGCACGAGCACACAGAGGCCCTTCCCTTGCCCATGCAAAGTACACCCACATTTCATGTTCTGCAGTTGTAGCCCTCTGCTTCCCCCTCCCCTCCCAGCTAGCCCTTGGCCAGTGCATTGCTGACGATGGCTTCATGGAGATCCCTTTATGGCTTCTGTATTGATCTGTTGAGTCTAGGGCTAGGGACAGACATTACACACAAACCGGTTTAAGTGATCAGAAGCTGGTTTAAACCTGTAACAGAACAAAAGTTCAGTGCACATAAACCAGTTTGACAATGGCTGAAACTGGTTTGAGATAAACCTGGTTGAATGTAGTATCAGACTTAACTGCTTTGGGTCAAACTGCAATCTGTCCCAGACCCGTTCCTAGTTTAACTTTACCAGTCCCCCAGCATCCCAGATGCTTTGCAGCCTTGCATGGGGCTCTGTTCCACAGCAGAGCTGGCCCCACCTCTCTGCTCCCTGGCTTGAGCTCCAGCAGAGACAACAGGTACAGCAGCATCTGCCTGGCTTCCCCCCCACCACCATTCCCTGCTCAAGCAGGGATTCCCCCGTCTCCTCTGCCTCACACAGACATCTCTCAGCATCTCTTAGCTAACATATCACATGCTGGCTATGGTCTGTGCTGTGGGAGACAGGGCAAAGGCAGATGAGACGGTGTTGTCTTAGGGCCTTAGATCTAATCAACAGGTAGCTGGTAATGTCCCTCCATTCCTTCCTTGGAAAAAGTTGTTTATGAAGAGCTTGAACTAATGAGAGAGGCTTTTGTTTTGTTTGATGGGCTGATAAATACTAACAACTCCCTATATAACTCCCTGCTGTGTAGCTAAATGCTCTGTTATCAACAACTGTGGGGGGGAGGGAATGGACCCCTCCCTAATCAAAGCATCCTATGGGGACCTGGTCATGCCTCCCCTCAATTCAGCACTATGGAAGGGAGAGAGGGCTGCTCTAGCACCCCCTGTCTACTAGCCTGGGCCACTGCAGGCATGTGCCAACATTTCCTCAGTCCAGAGTGGATGTCTGCAGTTACAAACTGGTTCAGCCTAGCCAGGTTAAATTAACCTGAAAAGATTGAACCAATTCAGGCTCAAGCTTCTTGAGTGTCTGTCCCTAGCCCAGATATTGAGGCTGTTGCACTGAGGTGGGAGGAAGGGATGCAGCCAGGATCTGCTCAGCCCTGGCTACTTGTTGCCTACATCTTGCTGCTGCTGCAGTTAATGTCCATGGAGCTCCCTGCTCCACTTTGCTGTTCCAGGCTATGCTGCAAATTGGCATCCTTCTACTGACCTCCAGCGCTGGCACTTGGGTACAGCTTATCTTCAGACAGCTGTGCAACCTCTGCTTTAATTGAATGTGTGGTCAGTGCCCAGTCTCTGGAGCATATAGAAGCCTGTCAAGACTCCTGTGTGCTCCCGTGCCTGGGAGCCTGGTCAGCTGATTGGGAGTGCACAGTGCATTACTGTTCCTGGGAGCCAAGCTTGCTACTTGCTGGTGGAGGGGGAGCCCAGGATTAGGTTCCCCCTGCACAAGCAGTATGGTACAATGGGATGTGATGCAGAATCGCCAGTCACATCTCTTACTGGAAATGTGACATGGCAAGAAGCACTATTGTCAGGATCCCGCGTAAGATCCCTTCTCGGCTTTATTTTGACATCTGTCAGCTTAATTTCGGGACCAATCTGTCCTTGTCTTGTAGGGAGAGAGAAACTAGAATTTCCTGATTTACCTCATCTATCCCAGTCATTATTATGCATATGTAATGAGACACATTTTTATTTTTTTTCATCTGCTCTCTAATCTTTTTTGTCTCTAGTCACGCAGAAATTTTCTCATGTCTTAATTGCTTCTGTTGCTTAATTGTTACTGTTCTGTATTCTGAGGCAGGCTGGCCAGTATTTGGATTTATGTGTCTATGAGCTGCTAGGTAACTGTAGTAGAATGACCTTGCCTGTGAAGTTTGTATCTCTTGTTGGTATGCAGATATTTAGTTTCTGACCTTTAGGGCAGGATTTACCTATTTTCATAGCTTCGTCTTTGAGGTAACTGTGAGCGTCTTTATTTATTTGCTGATTAGTGTTTTCTTTTCTGAATTCATTCTCATTTTCTTCTGTGCGATTGACCTGAGACACTAATTGAATATTTTCATAGCATGAAGAACACTACGAATTGCCAGCTAAAGGTCTGTGAAATTATTACTGAGGTCCAAGTTCAGTTAAGCTTCATGTGCTAAATTAAATCCAAGTTAGACTTCAGTAGGACTATCAGTGCTTAAAGAAAAATACATGCATAGAGGTTTGCAGGATCGAGCTCTTAGGATATGAAAATGTGTTTCACACTAGTGGACTATATTTTTTCTTTTTTTCTGTTTTCAAACTTCAAAAAGAGTAAAACTATTTGCTGCTGATAAGGAACTGGGTACAACTTGTATAATTTGTTTTATGCTACAGTTATATACCTTTTAAAAAGTAGGATTTCTGGCAGAAAATGTGACATTTTCAGTATACTCTGTAGCACTAGCTTGTCTACTTTTGTTTTACTTTTTATTCCTCCTCTACTGTAGCAGTAATACCTTCATCTAATTAGTATATTCATCAGTATTTTGGTTCTTGCAGAGGAGAGAATTTGATGTGGATAACCTGAGCAAGCCAGAACTGCGGATGCTCCTGAGCATAATGGAAGGGGAGCTAGAAGCACGGGATCTTGTAATTGAAGCCTTGAGGGTAAGTTTACTTTTGGGTTCTTTGTGGTTTTGTTTTTTGGGGTTTTTTAAAGATTTTCCGTCTGTCTTTGCTCCCCTTTTTAATCATTGCACGTAAAATTGGAATGGTAAACTGTGATTTCTAAGAGGCCTTTAGCTGTTCAGATCCCAATAATCATAAAATATTTTCTTGGCTTAGTGGTACCATGCTTCCTTGCTCCAAAACTCTTACCAAAATATGTACAGTAATTGGGCCTGGATTTTGAAAGGGAAGCGTTTGGAAAAAACAAAATAACTTTTCTTTGAATTAATTCTTATTTATAACAAGTGGGAGTAATTTCAAAGCAAATATTTTGCATTCAGCCTAGTCTTCATTTGTTTTAAGTCTGTTTGTATGCGAAAAATATTTTCCTAGCATTGCCGGTCTTTCAAAACGAGAGGGGAGGTGGATCAAATATGTTAGTTGTAGTGGGGGAAGGAAGTGTTTTCCCCCCACCCCCCTTACAGGCAGGGTTTTATGAAAAAATCATCATTTTTATTCTAATAGCATTCATGATTTCCAGTTTTGATTGCAGCCTCATTGAGTCAGATGCTGTAAAAGATGAATGGGAAGATGTTTCTTACTCAAAAAACCTTGCAAATTACATATCTTTGTGGGTTACTAGTCTTTTTAGAAACTATATAAATATGCCTTAATCAATTGGTGATCAATTTTAGTTAATTGGCATTAATTAATTTTAATGATTAAACATGTTCTGCCAGGTAGACTCACCTGGCTGTTTGGTCTGCCAGCCTGTTTGGCAGGATGCCAAGCAACCTGGTAAGCAAAAATCCAATGGAATTCTGTCAAATGTGAAATATGAATTAATCTTTTCTGTTCATAAATCAATTTTAACTGACGGGGTAGGGGGAGGATCCAAACAGATTGTTTGTTTATTTGATCTTTCAACTTTATAAAGGATATTTTAGCAAATTTACAGCTATATATTTGGTACGTGCAAATATACAGCCTGTTTGGACTTCAACAGTGAAAACCCAGTGTAATGTAGTGTGCCTAAAACTGGATGTCTATAATACATATAATTAAATAATGCGTTTAAAATTTTTAACTTCACACTAAGAATTACAGTAGTCCCTGTATTTGCATTAAGAAGGTTTATTTTTTGTCATGACTTCAGACCACTTGATAAAAAGGAACTTTCTGAACAGCCATCACTGATACCCGTATTAATAACTTAGAATTACATGCATATGAAATTTGCACTTTAAAGTAAATTTGGTTTTGCTTTTGAGGCATTTGCACTTCCTAAAACATGCTGCCTCTGTCTTGCTTTTTTACAACTTCATATCTAGTTTGCCTGGACCAGTGGTGACACCTAGGGGGTGCATGGTGGTGTATGTGCACCCTGTGAGAGCGCTGGTGCACCCCGTCAGGCCGCACTCCCTATTTAGCCAGCGGGCAGGCGGGAGCACCAGTGGCCCAACCCCGCCCCCCCCATTAGCGCTGGCCAGGGAGCAGGGCCACCAGCAAAAGCCCAAGTCAGTGGGATCAGGTGCTGGGCCGTCCCTGCCTTAAGAGGCACCAGTCACCTATGGCCTAGACTCAGACTTTTTACTTACCCTGACTGTCAAGTTAAAACAAAAATAGTTGTGCAAGGGGAAACTGTTCAGTTATCCCATTTGCTGTTCTCTTTGCCTCTTTTTTATTTTAGAGGACAGCACTTTGAACAATTTCCCTTTCATATTTGCATTCACTAAGAGTTCTCAACATCATACATATACACACCAAAGAATGACTATATTGGGATACATGCGGTATGAAGAAAGGAGATGTGTAACCAATACACATTGAATGCCAATGAATATTTAAACCTCTGTCTGTATTACAGTTCCAGCAAGGACAAAATTCAAATGAAGTGGAACTTCCCAGCCATCTGCTTGAGACAGTTTGTTAGCATGCATGCAATGGATTGTATTCATGGGGGCTAGGTACAGACAGTCAAAAAGCCAAAGACTGAATCAATTCAGTCTTTGTAGGTTATTCTAAAATGCACAGATTAAATTGAAACAGAAGTGAACAGACACTTACTTTTGATTCAGGAAATGCAGCCACATGCCTGCAGTGGCTCAGGCCAGAAAATCGGGGGACGCTAGAGCATGGCTCTCTGCCTGTGTGTTAACTTCATCTACCTGTTGCCCCCAAGGTCTTTGGGATTTGCAGTCCAGAATTATAGCAGCAAGACTCTGCAGGGTTGCTCTTCCTGCTTTCAGGTGCCTCTGGGATTTGTAGTTCACAGTTGTAGGCAGCAGTAAGTTTGAGTGGAGGTAGGGGTGTTTAAACCTCTCCCTGGCCCCAGACTCCAACTGGGGTGGGCTGTCCCCACCCTGTAGACTGGGCTGCATCCCCAGCCGGGCTTGCCCCCCTCACCCCTCCCCACCCCTTGTCAGCCAGCCCTCACTCTTCTAGGTAGGGAGCAGAGGGGTGGGGCCAGCCCTGCTCTCTGGAGCAGACAGCCCAGCCCAGGGCTGGAAAGCATGCTGGGATGCTAGAGGAATGTGATTTTACTTGAACTAGGAAGGGGTCTTGGGACAGAAGCTTCATAAACCAGTTTGACCCAAAGCAGTTACTATATTCAACCAGGTTTATCTTAAACCAGTTTCAGCCATTTTGAAACTAGTTTATGTGTACTGAGTTTCTGTTCTGTTACAGGTTTAAACAAGTATCTGATCACTTAAACTGGTTTGTGTTTCACTTCTGTCCCTAGTCAAAGTGACCAGGAGAGCTGATAACTTTTTTTTTTAGAGCAGAATTTGTGATGCTTTTTCCCTTGACTTGGATAAAAAGCCAAAGAACTGAAATTCTTGTTATTCTCTGCCCGGCTTTACCAAGAGCCCTCACTCCAAAGCTGGCTGCTGGGCTGGCTGCTCTGATACTGGTAATCCTGGGAGTGGAGACTTCTGAGTCTCTTTTGTTTTTGAGAACTTGGGCCATGGAGGAGCAACAGGCTCTAGAGTGTCTAGGTCTTCCCAGCAGCAAGATAGACTGACAGAAATTTCTTTCAGAATAAAAATAGCCCAGGAGCTGGACTGTACAACTGTTCCTCCAGCCCCATGGCTGGAAAGCTTCACAAGCTCCCCAGCTAGGGGGGGACTAGAGGGCTGCTTCCTGGGCCACCCATGCTCTTAGTAGAGCCCATTGCTTGACACCCTGCCTGGGAAAGGGGCAGGCTGTCAAGTGACAGTTGGCAGTTGGTGAAAAGCATTGGCTGCCACAGCCAGCCACTGGGTTCCTACCCTGGGATAATGTCCCCTTCCCCCCGCCACATCATTCAGTTGATTGGCAGGAGGCCAACCCTCCCAGTTCTCCCCATAGAAGAATAGCCCTGCTCCTTGATCTCTTCCTGGCTGATGTGGAAGAGTGAAGAGAGGTGGGAGGAGCACTCAGTTGCTGCAGCAAGGCTCCAGGAGCCATGCAGTAGGGGCATGGCAGCCTGCCCCACCCTCTGTTGCTCCGGGCTAACCCAAACCAGTATGGGGTGCGGCAGGAGCCTTTTGCTGATGTGGCAAAGCTCCAGTGCACAGCAGCCTCCCTCACCTGCACTCTTCTGGGTCAGCTGGGCAGTGCAAATGGCAAGTTGTACAGGAGCTGGGTCAGGGAGACTTTCCTCGAGTCCTGCTCCTGACCACTGGCTTTTAAAATTGCTGCCCTGCTACTCAGGTGGGCGGTGGGAGCAGCAATAGGAAGCTGGCGAGAGCCAGGAAAGCCCCCTGCCTCTTATTGGTTTGAGGCAAAGACAGAGAGCAGTGGCTTCTGCTCCCTTTCAGCTACAGGTCTATGGGAGGTGGGGAGCAGAACCCCCCCCCCCCCCCCCCCCCACCCCCCCCCCACCCCCCACACACACACACACACACACACACACACTTCCTCAAGACTGGAGTGAGCCCAGTCTTGAAGGGAGGGAGACTTTCATGCAGTTCCACTCCTCCTGATCCCTAGGAGGACTTAAACTCCTGGAAAGTGTATAGTGTTCAGTCTCTGAGGCAGCAAAACTCTCCAGTGAGCGATTTTTATCCTGGTTGTTGTTGGGTTATTTTTCTCTTGGAGTAGCCATTTTTGCTCTGGGAGAAAAAGCCTGAATATCTGTATACTTTTGGTTTTGGTCTGTACTTGGTGTAAACAAAGTTCTGATACTAGCTTGTTAAATAAAAACGGAAGTGTAAAAGTTTGAAATCGGTGACATAATTGTAGAAAAATGTTTCTGATTTATATTATTTTATTTTTCCTGAAAAGAAATGCAGTTGCAGCATATGGAAGGGTCTTTTTGAGCATGGAAAACAGATTATACTGAAGTAAAATGTCTTTCCTGTTAATTAGTGCATGTAACCTTCTCACAACAGCTATGACAATTTAATTGTAACACAGTTCTAAAGGCTGTTAACAAATTCTCTATTAACAATATATTTATGGTTGGAACAAAGCTAGAGCTTTTCCAGCTGTGCCCTACTTCTCAATGTTACTGTGAAAGCTATGTTCTGATTCAGCCCTAGTGAGGTGGTCTTTAAGCTAGGTGCAATGAGAGATGGAGACAAAAGCTCACAGGTGAATAAAGGGCAAGATGACTTTTGGATTAAGGCCAAGAAAGAGAAGGAAATCGGAGAAGTCTTAACAAGAGTGTAAGAGGGAAATTAGCAAGGCAATCAGTTATAAAATATGTTTATACACTAATGTGAGAAGCATGGGGAATAAGCAGGAAGAACTGGAAGTCCTAGTACAAACACAGAATTATGATCTAATTGAGGTAAGCATAACTTAGTGGTACAGTTTACATAAATGAAATATTATGATGGTCATGTGCTTAGTTCAGGAAGGACAGGCATCAGGGGAAAAAGAAGGTAGTTACCTTTTATAAATAAAAGATGCAGACATGTTTTTCTGTATTAACAGTGAGATGTTTTGAGATGCATTGTAAAGTGGGAGCTAGAGCTTTTGAACATCTCTGGATCAGGGTTAAAGGAGAAAAT